TCCGATGTAAATTTGCACACACACACACCGATAACCAAACACGTACACCTTTGCATTTTCCAATTTCATCGCGATTTATTTGTTCGATTGCATCACATTTTTATTTGAATTTTATTTTTTTGGTGTACGAATTTTTAACTTTCGTAATTTTTCGGCTATAAACGTGTGTGCGTTGCATTTTCTTCACCATGGCCTCATCATCATGGTGCAATCTGCATGCTATTTGAATCGCTTATAATAAAAGTAGTGAATGAGAAAAAGTGAAAATAAAAGTCGAACATAAAGTTTTTTTTATATAGACAAAATCCATACAAAAAAAAACTTTATGTTCGACTTTTATTTTCACTTTTTCTCATTCACTACTTTTATTCTAAGCGGTTCATTTGGTATTCGTTTATCTCCACCAATGCTATCGAACTCATTGAAGAATGCGAGCAAACAAAACAGCGACGCATACAGTGGTCAAAACGTCGATGTCCGAAAGTGTTATATGCTATTATTTCGTAGTGTTTGGTATAAAACGTGCACTGCACCTTAATTTACACATTCGTTTTATGTTCGTACAATGATTCGGCGCGCATTTTAATTGAATTTATACACAGTGAACTTGAGAATTGGTATGCGTTTTTTTTCTTCCTTGCGAAGAATTTCGTGTTTATGTCATCAAAATTTGCGGTATAATATCGTCAGTACAATCAATGAATATGAATACAAATAAAATATCATCTTAAAATAATAAATTGCACTTAGCACTGTATATTGATTACATCAAAGAACCGACACATTATACCATTCAAAATTATATACAAAATCACAAAGAACAAAATACCAATGTTTATGTTTTCATTTTGTGCAAACTCCCACTCAATATTCATACTAAATATTTAATTATTTTCGCCTTAAAGACATTTACTTGCATTAAGTGTCTCTCTTATTCTTATTTCAAAAGCCCTGAGATTATGGCCTGTTTGTTCGTTCAGTCTGTTGTTATGTTGTTGTTTTTTTTCTCTGCTTCGCTCAAATGCGATTATAATTTGAAATTTTCTCGCAGTAGAATTTATTCAAACAATAGACTGCATCGCCAATGTAAATACGTTTGGATCATATTCACCATTGAAATTAATTTAAATGGCTTTCAGCCAGCCATCATATTTGTGAACAGCAATTTTGCTTCGTATACGAAAGTGATAATGAATTGAAGAGAAAGAGAATCTCTCATAAAATACTCGATGTAACCACAGTGGTTAAATGGTATTTGGTGGCCTGCAAAGCAGGTAAAATTGACATAAACCAAAAACCGTAAAATGTGTTTGATTGAAGCCTCCTGTACCGAAAATGCTACTCTTTTCTCTTTTTTTTTCTCTCTGAAAATATTAAATGACATGCTGCATATGATGCATCTCTGAAAAACGGTATTTCGTAATGTGTACGCCATGGCAAATAGCACGCGATTACCAAAGACAAGAAGCTTTGATCAACAAAATAGTAATCAAATGCACACTACAATGCAAAACATCATTGCGCCGCGGTAACGAAACGATGAAGTGAAACATGAAATAACAGTCATATAAACATATACTCACACATGCGATGGAATGAAACCAAAACGATTTGTTTAAGCATTGAAACGATAATATTTTTCTTTTCATGCACGATTCAAAGGGAAAAAAATGTTGCAAAATCACAGCCAGTTACAATAGACGAAGATAGAGCGAGAGAGAGAGAGAAAGAGGCGAATTGTTATTCATTCGTTGATTATAAGTGTTTGCGGTGTACATAAATACACAAAATGAAACATATTTACTCTCATGTGTAATGATTGCTCATGTGTCTATTTATGTTTAAGCTTCCATTGCGAATAAGTAATAAAGCATAGTTTTTTTTACCATTGCTGGCCGATGTGCATGATTTTTTTTCGTGTCTGTTTTACATTATTTGTGTATATTATATAATGGATCCAGTGTATTTCATCGATGGAATGCCATTGTTGAGGATATAGAAATTGCTTGAAAAGTTTTACGCATTTGTTGAATTAATCACCTGACCCGACAATTGATTGATATACCATGGTTTTCATCAATAACTCAACAAAAAATAAACTTCAATCATCATCGAAATTCAAATGGTTTTTAACAAGATCAGAACCTAAATAACATGCTTGTCATCGAGCATTTTGCCATGGCATCCGTGTGATGCAAACTTCTTAACAAACTTATAATGAATGATCGCATTTCGCATGACATTTACGATGGCAAAGTCAAAGAAAATTTATTGAAAACAGTTAAATGATGCCATTAATGGCAACGAAATCGAAAAAAAAAAACGATGCTGAAATCAAAAAGACACGGCCACGCTCAATTTTCAATTTCATTTATGCTTGAACATTTTACAAACCATTGAACTATGCTCGGTGTCTAGTTTTCTCTCGCGCTCGATTTCGTTCTCTCTATGCATCTATATATCTTTGAACCGTATAGTTGTGTCTGATTTGATGAGTGCCAGCAATTTGAAGTGCGCGTGAATTTTCAAATTTAAATGAAAACTATGCATGTTCAACGTCTCATTACTCTATAGAGTGGTTTGAATGTGATGCTCCTTCATTTCGAGAATGAATCTATCTGTAGGTTTCTTTTTTCACTTAGCAGATGAATACGCCAACGAAGCAGGAATTTATCTAACTATTTCTTCAGCACAGTGTTTGTCTCTGTTTTCTTCTGCCACTATACGACATCAATTCGTTTGTACTTCACTAAATTCAATTCACTTTTTGACTTACTCTGTTTTATTATAAATCATTTGAACTTTATCGTAAACTACATTTTAACCGATTCGCTAGGAGAATGCATAAATGTATTGAGTCGTATTTTGGATGCTACTCTTTGTAGCACCAGAGAGTTTGCATTGGCATTAGTAGCAACAAACGGCTGCACATTTAATACGCGAGTATTGCATGTGCTCAACACTCAATATTACATATTCAACAGAAAGTAAGTTTGCACCCGATAGTTTGACAGCGTGTTTCATTCCACATAAAAGACAGCAACTGAAGAGATCGTTACACCAAATGAATCTATAGTGTTTTTTTCTTCTTCTTCCTCGCTCACTCGCTTGCTCGCTCACTCTCGCTCTCATCGACGTCGTCCATTCACTTCTGCTGTTGATGCTGCTGCTGCTGCTGTTCTTGTTGTTGTTCGGAAAAGTTGTAAATGATTAATGAATCTCAGAGGCAGCGCGTCTCGTTACTCTCTTTCTTTTGTCTTTGTTATATGGCATCAGCAGCATCAACAGCGACGACGATATTTTGAGTGTAGCACATAATTTGGAAAATTGTTTTCCAAATTAAGTTGCTAGAAAATGATTTTGATATGTTTTCAAAGACTCACGCGGTGCATGTGCGGCTGGTATAGCCGATTGTGTGCTTTGCAAATTAAAAAGTCAGACTCAGAAGCATTAACTATTCTCAATGCAAGATTTGTATATTTCATTTGTCGGTTTTCTTCTCGCATTTTTTTTATATTTTATTTTCATTTGTTACTGCTTCTTTGACTACCGCTGTGTGTTTAACAGTTATACTTTGTATGCAGCGGTAGATTTTGCTCTATCTTTACTTTTATCGTTACAACAACGTTATTTGTCAATGATTCTCAAACGAATGTACGCAAAAATGAATGCAAAAACAAATCTAAAGAATATAACGCCATTGAAATCAGCATGTTTTTTTATAGATTCATTTAAGGCCCCCTATCCAGCCGGGCAAATTTTTGCGATTGCCTTGAAACCTTTTTAGGAATTTAGTGACTAATTTGTGATAATTTGTGACAGCAATATTTCGGCCCATGGAATAGACCTTCGGCCAATTTTGGCCATTTTTCTATTTAGGCCTATTGGCCAAAAAGTCTCTTAGTTAAATTTTGTGACTTTCAAAAATATCAACATTTGAATTTGTGTTACAATTCGATTTAAAAAATTTCATTGTTTTTCGACTTTTAGTGTGAAAATCGAAAAATTGAGATTTCTGTCACACACATTGTGTCACAAATTCAAATGATGACATTTTTGAGAGTCACAAATTGGTCACTAAAAGATGACACCATTTATTTGGATCTACGTATTCGATTTGAAAAATTTCATTGATTTTCGAATTTTAGTATGAAAATCGGAAAATTGACATTTCTGTCACACACATTGTGTCACAAATTCAAATGTTGACATTTTTGGGAGTCACAAATTGGTCACTAAAATTATGTCGAAGAATTTTTATAATTTTGCCCATTTTTATGAAAAGCCTTTTCAAATTTTCGATTAAAATCATTTTTGTGCATTTTTCAATTTTTTGTTCATAATATGTCCACCAGATGTCGTATCGAAAATCTAAAGTCATATTTGTGAGTCACTAAAATTCTGCATCATTATATTTTCATTTTTTGCTTTTATTCAAAATTTCACTAAGAGACTTTTTGGCCAATAGGCCTAAATAGAAAAATTGGCCGAAGGTCCATTCCATGGGCCGAAACATTGCTGTCACAAATTATCACAAATTAGTCACTAAATCCCAAAAAAGTTTTCAAGGCAATCGCAAAAATTTGCCAGGCTGGATAGGGGGGGCCTTCATTTAATTACAATTATAACGGCAACCATACACGACACAACAATATGCAAAGGAAATAAAAAAAACAATTCACTCATTGTACACGGTAAAAATATAAAAATGCAAAAAAATCTCGTCTTTTGATGTTTTCAAATAACAACAAATTATGCATAATCCATAAGCACCAAAATACTTTTTTCTTCATTCATTCTTTTTGTCGTCTGGCTTCTCTGTGCATGTACCAGCTATAGAAGAATTTATCTATCATCACATTTAAAATGCACGCATAGAACGACAATAATTCGTACCATTCACTGATCAAATGTTTTGAAGCAAAATATCGTTTGTTTGACAGTCAAAACACAAGAAAACAAAACGATGAAACAGTGATTGGTAATCAAAAGCTACTTACGTATTCTCCAGTTGCGCTCAAACCTAGTACTGTTGCCACTGCAAAAGCCGTTGATTTTTATTGTCTTTCTCGTTTCTTTATATCCCGTTCGATTTTGATATTAAAACACCGTTGAGCTATGATTAATATCAATTCCCGAAATGTATTGCAATGGTGACAGTATGGCTAAGTAATTCAGTCACTCGCACGAACTAAAGGAAATATATTTATTTTTTTTAACTATAAAATTCACGTATGCGATGTGTAAGCTAGTAACATCGACTGATCATTTCTAATCAAAACAGAGCGCGTATGTGTTGATTTGGGAGATTTACGAATGTTTACTGTATTATTATGCGGTTTTTTTTCTTGTTTTTTTTTTGTCAAACTGAATGCCGATGTCAATGTTTTTTTTCCTATATTGGCGTTTTAAATTGACTTGATTGATATTCAATGGATGGATTTAAATAAATAGCGACACTCTCTCACACTTTTATCACTTTCTTTCTTAATCGGTTTTGAATTTTTTTGTCCGCGTTTTTTAAAAAGTGAGATTTTTCGTCTTTAGAAAATGTTATTGTTTTAGAAAAAAACAAAAGAAGTGTGTTGATTTTTGCAACTGCACATTGATTTTAAACACAAGAATAGTTAACATAAAAAAAAATGTCTTGATTTTAAGGAACAAACGCTTGGTTTTTTTTCTCAAATTTCCAGCGACCACTAAAAACAAAAATCCAATCACGAGCTAAATGTATGAGATAAAAACAACGCAAAAAATCATCATCAAAAGTAATAAACAATCGAAGAGGCGAAAAAAAAACTAACGAAATTTAAACAGAGAAGAGAAGAAATCAGTGCGATTGTGTTGAGCGCATGCGCACAGTTCACAATACACCAGAAAAACACGACTTGTTCAATGAACCTCGCGAAACATAATAAAACCATATGGCTGGCGAAGAAAAGTGTTGAGCCCATGCGCACTGCAAGAAATATAAATATGTGAATGCCGCTACTTAAGTCTAAGTTTCTCACTCTCTTACACCTCTACATTACGTGCGTGTATATAACATACAAATAAAATGATTTCGTAGTGGAACACCGTCGTCGCACGAGTGAGAGAATGAGAGTGAAGCGCACACACACACGATGTGTTGTTGATTCCGTATAATCGACTCGATTTTTGCTTTGCCGTCAATAAACCGATATTTGCGTTGCTATTTCTCCAGTCATAACTTTTACCTTCTGAATGGACTTGAATATATCTTTTTTTTTCTGAAATCATTTCTATTTTCGGTTGGTGTTCGTGAACTTCGATCAATGTTTTTCATGAATTTAGTCATGAAAATCATAGCGTTGTTGATTAAACATAATCATGTATACTAATTAAGTATGGTTCATCGATGACATATAATTATATTTTTTTTAAAGAAATTATTTCCGTTATTAAGAAGTTACGTATATGCCACAGATAGATAGATGAAATGAATAGATGGGCAGATGAATTGAATGAAATGCTCAGTTTTAGCACAGTGTCAAATTAAACATATTGACAGCCAAAAAGGTTTTGGCTGAATGTTAATTTTCATTGTTCATGTTAACTGTATCCACCAAAAACATATCGAAAATATAGATTTTTCATACAAATGCACATCACCGAGAGAAATTTTAATCTAATTTTATGCATTGTAACAACAATTTTGATGTTTGAGTCGAAAATGAAATTAAAAACAAGGAAAATCCGTTCTCCCGCTTTGAATATGCATAATTGGAATGAAATGTGTTGTGAGATTTTTCTTTCGCTATTTTGCACTCAAGTTTTATGTATGTGTTTTTGCTATGTGTGTGTCTCGATGGTCTCGTTTTTGCTACGTTCATCCATATTAAATACATGTGTTTGTGCAGGCAATTTAATTCAAATTGCGTTCAGTCGCTTGGATCAAATCAAATTCAATTAAATACCAAACTCAAATTCGATGAAATCAAGTTAAATGCAACAAAACACAGTACTTTTGATTTGGACCGAAGAGCGAGTCATTTTACATGAAGAAAAAAACACTGACCAGTAAAGGTTTCGAAGTGTGAATAAAAGTTTTTGATGTCACCTATACAGATCGATATAAAGTGCCGAAAAAATAAAATTGTGAAAATGAAGGCTGCCCTAATGGCCCCATAAGGGCAGGGGAGTACCCCACTATCTCAAAATTTGGTCAGATCAAAAAATATTGTACTACAAAGTTGTTCAGAATGACGAGAGAAATTTTTTATGACCCCTGCCCTCTAAGTCCCCCCCCACCCCCAGGGGGGTCGGGGGTCAAAAACCCCCAAGATATGATTTTTTTTACTCGAAACCTCGAAATTCGGAATCAGCATCCCAAATTACCCTAGAAGTGATATTCGTCTCGAGCCCATTCGCCTCAAGTCTCCCAACAAATCAGAGCCCCTCATTAGGGCAAAATGATGAAAAGTCGATTTTTCACTTTTTGGGTGCGGAATTCCGCACTCAAATGTATGGCCAACTAATTTTATCCGCACATTTCATTTAGGCCATTGCCCATCCCCTCCCATCACTCTCAAATTTGACATGGTGGGGTACTCCCCTGCCCTTATGGGGCCATTAGGGCAGCCTTTATTTTCACAAAATTATTTTTTCGGCACTTTATATTGATCTGTATAGGTGACATCAAAAACTTTTATTCACACTTCGAAACCTTTACTGGTGAGATGAATAACAATATATACATATATATGTGAAATAGATGATAAAAACATGTTGTGAGATGAGCGGAATTTCAACGTTTTTTCCTCAGCAATTGAGAAACAGGAACACGAACTTTAGCGAACGTTCAAATGCGAAAGAGATGAGAGAAAGAAAGGGAAAAAACTGAATAACCGGTAGAATGGGCACACAACGAAAGTCAATAGCATTTACAAGCATCACCAAACAATAGCCATGTGAACGAAATCGAAACATTGCGCTAAAATACACACATCCAATATTACTTTGATCCATATTGCAATAATATACTTCACACATCCATACAGACTACATTGTTTTGTATGATACTATGAATAAGTTTTGTTCAACTGACAATTTTACTTGAATAGGCTGTGAGTTAAACAGCGATAAAACTATCGGATATGAATTTGATCGATCACTTTTCTCTTCTTTTCTCCTCTTTCTCTCTCTCTATCAGTATCGCCCTGTCTGTCTCTGGTCTATTGTTAATTCCCATGCGGTAAATTCAAGATTGGATTTGGATAAGTTTGAATAAAGTTAGTTTGAGCGCAATTAAATGGTCCATGTATTCAACGATTTATCACGGCAAACAAAGTAAACGGTAGCAGAATTTTTTTTTCATTACATTGAACATTGCCTAGTTTTATATACATACTGATCGTAGTATGCCAAATTTATAAGTAGAATATAGTGTTTATTGAATCATTTTGCATGGCCGTTGTGTGTGTGTGAATGTGATGTTTTTTTTCCTCTTCGTTCCTATTTTCAAAATTTATCGGCCTCATTCGCGTGGTCTCTCGCATCGCGCGAGCTATTCAACCATTTTTCACTCATTTCTAATTTATGCGAATCGATGTGCGCACACCGGCAAATCACCGCGAGATATTGAACCAGCCATAATGTAATGTTTGTAGCCACTGTGTGTTCAGGTATGCATATTTAAAACCTTTCTTTTCTTCGTTTCTTCATCTCTCGCATCAATTTCTATTCAATTCGCACAGAAAGGTGTCTGTGTGTTGACGATTCTTCGCCATTTTTATGCTTTACGTGCAAACTTGCTCTCGCGCCCATCGTATGCATTGTCGAGATTAAAACTGGGAAATAGAAGCATTTGAGTTAAAATAAAAGTTGTATGACACATCTTTATTTTTGCACTTTTATGTCACAAATAATTTTCGCCGATATTGCTGTGCGTTTATTAAGGTGTTACTTCTACAAATAAATTGCATTTTTCTTTTGTATTTTAAACACATATCAATACATAACGATTTCATGTGGTTATGTTCATGGGATCGCACGTAAATATTCCATTTGATGCAAATTCCAATGAAAAACAGAATGAACAAAGCGAATCTGGCAGTTTGGCATACAAATACAAAAAAAAAAAAAATATATATGCGAAAACGACATTTCTAACCGAATGGATTTGATTAAATTGGAAATTGGATTCGGTCGAATAGTAATAATATTCATACGGGTTGCATCTGGATCTTTTACTCAATTCTTCGAATATGTCAATTGTTATTTACTTCATTTCAAGCTGATAATAAGATGGTTTCAATTTCATTTAGATATTGATCACAGCAGAGTTGCAACGAACAACTATTCGCATAATAAAATTTTCACATGGTATGGGTGTGATCAAACACCTTCTGGTCAATAGCAATGGAAGTTCTTTGTTGTGATTTTCCTATGAAGAACTATAGAAAGATAGACGAAAGCCGGCAACAATGAAAAAAATGCAGAATCCTTGCCTTTTGTTGCTCTGATATTTCTTTTGCTTTACAAAACCTCTTTTTTTTATCATGAGATATTGAATACAATATATGTTATTCATGCAATCTAATAGACACAGCATGCTGTACACAGACATTGAAATCCAGATAGAGAGCAGAGAGAGATAGAAAAGAAGAAAAAGAATGTAGTTTGCATATCCATTGAGTAAATAAACTGATTTTCAGTATCATTACAAATCACAGTGGAGATTATCAATTTGTGCAGAGAAATCCAACGAATTACATGCATGTCGAGCATATGCTTTGGGCATGCGATTGGCATTTTTCGTATGTACAACGATAACGCACATTTAACAGGCAATCGCAAGAAATGAGAGAGCAACAGAGATATAGTATAATATGGGATGAGATGGATTTTGTATAATAGTGGGCGCTTCGGTGAATTATTTATGCACATCGAGTAAGTACATAAGAAGTTATTGCACCTGTAAATAATTCGAAAACTACCATTGGGATGTTAACGCAAATAGTGAATGTACGAATGTGAATGAGACGGGAAGTTGAGTGAGCGAATGCGATTGAAAAAGTGCAAGAAAGGGAGAAAACTGTGTATGGTTGAATGGAATATGCTATTGAAGGAGCCTTTTGTGTATAAATGCTGGTTTTGGTTGGCGTTTTCGACTGCCACTGACTGAATATATACATATATATGTATATCGATGATAAAGAGAGTGTATTGTGAACATGCCCGACTCAGTAAATCGGAAGAAAATCTATTTGATGGCATTTGTATACATGCATTATATTCACTATATTCGAAACAAGTTCCTTCGGAGACTCGATCGACAGTGGAAGACAAATTTCCGATTTTTGCGTGATTATTTCGCATTTATGCGGCAACATACACACACAAATACACTTTATTTTTATTTATACACGACTGAGAATATCCATCGATATCAAGTCTGTCGTCGAGCTTATTTTAAATTCATTTAATCTACGCCATGATTTGCAACTATAATTTCCATCTATCCATTTATGCGACGTAGTGCCGCTGCTGTTGTTGTTGTTAATGTTTGTGAGTGAGTGAGCGAGTGTTTGTGTGTGGTGTTGGCACAGCACAAACTTGCATTTACTCCACATACGGATATGAATGTTAAATGTGTACAAGCTATCGAACTTAAACTTTGTCGGCACATTGAATAGTGTTCAACATTCAACTATAACAATTACTTTGCCCTTCGAAAACGGCCCGTTCGTCGTTCGCGTTCCTTCCGTCTGAAGCTTGTTGGTTTGGCGCATAGAAATGCACAAAGCGAGTGAGAGAGAGAGAGAGACGAATGTACACAATATAACACAACACAGCTGCTCATTACACTTTGGCTATGCTAAGCCGCTTCAAATCGCTCTCGACAAACGAACATTAAATACGACGACGGTGCGACGATAGGTTATT